TCCACAACCACCGGCCAATGCGCCTGCACAACAATTCGGACGCGCATCGCGAGCGAGAAGTTTGCGCAGCGCCAGTCGCGAAGTAGAAGACTTTATCGACATCCAGAAGCCCACACGTCGAAGCGCGCGACAAGCGAGCGTGACTACGAACGATGGAAGTGAACATGAGGCACCAAAGGCGCGCAACACAAAGCGCAAACCCGCGAAAGAGCTGTTGGGAGGTTAGTAGCCACAGCCCAGTTGCTCGCTTGTGCACTTCCAATCAGCGCAATATTCACTACTGGCTAGACAGAGCTCAGGCTAATTACGTATGCGCCAGACCTCACAGTGGTTGAGGAAATAGATACCGAGATTGCCCTTGAGGAAGACGAAGTCCCAGGTACACCCGCGCGTACCGAGCCTGATGTAACCTTCCGCTCACCGGGCGCCGCATCCGAGATGTCCGGAACCACTGCCATCACCTCCTTCAGCATGATAGAGGCCGAATTCCTGGAGCCCAGATACATCGTCAAACATCTGCGAAAGCTATGCGAGGCTACAGAGGATTTCCTGGGGCACATTGCGCCAGATGATGCGACACAGGCGGATCATTGGCGAAACATACACGAGATGCGAAAACCCGGCTCAGTCTACAGCAAAGATTACCAGGACTTCGAAGACGAACTGAACACGCAGTTGAAGCATTACAAAGGCGAAGAACACAGCTACATACATATCAGAGCAATCCACCGCGCTCTCTTCGGGACAAGTGAGGATGTTACAGCATCACAGAGTGGCCTAGACCTTATCCTCTACCTCACCAATCTACTGGTGTTAGCGAAGCAGATAATGCATTCAGATCGAGATGATAAGAATATCTGGGATGTACTACGACAACTTGATATTTCGTTCCCGACTCAGTTAATGCAGTCGCTCGATCCGGACGCGCAACAGTCAGCTGCAGGAGAAAGTGCGCTATACAATGAGACCTTTGAGCTTGCGCTAGAACTGCGGACACAACTAGCAATACTCGTCCTTCAGAAGTCGGCCGACAACGACACCTTTGATCCCGAAGAAACAATGGAGGAGGTTTTCTTTCGCTCTGACTCGTCACAGTCGGTAGAAATTGGCTCGCCGATCCGTGGATGGGCCACAGCAGCTTTGGGCGGCGACAAATCAGCGCTACCCGAACAATTCGAGGACCAGATTGTGACCCGAGTAGACGCGATCCGAGCCTCTTTCTTCCGGGATGGGCAAGATAGCCAAGCTGTTGACTTGCAACATCTGAGGTCAGGCTTTCCGTGGGAGGCAACCGTCATTCGCCTGTTAGACTGGGTGCGTCTTCGGCACAAGGAACTCAAAACGGCCATTGATAATCTTGGAGGACCAAACACGATCATGCGTAACCTCAAAGAAGCCCTAGAGGAACCTCAGCACGTCACTCAAACAGCGCCATCTGCTCCACGAGAATCATTGCGTAGGAAGCGAACTTCGTTTGGACGAGACAGGCGGCGCAGTAGCCGTAAATTTGACCCAAATGCGAAGGTGGATTTGCGTGCTATTGATGTTTTGAAAGAGAAAGAACGTGATTCGGGTGTACATCTGGGACTCGCGGCTTCTCAGCCTGATCGTGAAGAGACTCTTATTCAGCAACCAGTTGAGGAGGTGGAGAATGAGCAACCGGGAATGGACGAGCAGCCACAAGACGAACAACAGACCATGGTCGGAAGCGACACGGCTTCACAGCAGGAGCATGAGGATATTCCTCAAGCGATCGAAAAAGTGCAGAACGAGCAGCCAAGGACGGAAGACCAACAGGATGATATGCAGGTGGTAGATGAAAGCGACGTCCTGCAGCAGCCCGATGAGGAGCAGTCTGAACAGCAGCAACCCCGACAACAAACGACGGAAGAAAGCCGAATGGAAGAGCCCGAAGAAGCAGTCGAAGAGCAGGTCGAGGCACCCCCAGCATCAGGTCCACCGCAAAGCTCAGCAGCTCTACTAAAAGCTCTGAAAGCCGTTCCAAAGCCGCAGAAAGAGAACCGCCCAGTATCAATATTCGATCGCCAACCGACAGCACAACGCATCGAATTCGGCGACGGCTTCGACAGCACCCAGCCAACACCTGGCCCTTCAAATACAGCCAAAGGAAAGCAACCCGTACTGCCATCCCCACGCAAACGTAAGCGCGTAATCGACATCTCCGACTCTGAATCCGACGAATTCGAAACCGCAGACCGCGGCTTCCGTGCCCCAGAGCGCCGTCGCAATGCGCCCGTCTCAAAGAAACAGCGCACCGCAGAACCCATACCCTCTTCCTCCGCAGCACCAACTAGCCACCAGCCCCCTCCCCGCGCAGAATCCGAACAAGAAGAATCCATCTCCGAAACCTCTGCGCCCTCCATGTCCGAAGAACCGCCCTCGTCAACCTGGCCCGACCAACGACGTCTCGCAAAAGAAAACCGCGCTCTCGAAGTCACCACGCAAGAACGGGCAGCCGAACGCAAAGGCCGCCAGAAGTGGACGGACGACGAGGAAGACGCGCTGATACAGTATATGAATATGTACCGTGGGAAATACTCGAAGATTCTGCAGCATGATCAGGATGATCATGGGCCGAGGAGGTTGATCAATAGGAATCAGGTTAATTTGAAGGATAAGGCTAGGACGATGGCTTTGCATATGATCAGGTATGTTTCCCTGTCTCGAACGGAAGATGATGTGGTCTATGCTAACAGAATTCCTAGATCTGGAGCTGGACTAAGACCAGGATTTGAGATGATCATCCACCCGGGCATGAAGGAAGGCAAAGCTTTGATGGCCGCTGGGTGGGTCATGCATGAAGATGGATCTTGGGAAAGGACTGCTAGATGAACTTTGAAGGCTTGTCCGCTTGGATACGATCTCCAGGACAAAGGCGTTTTTTGGTTGAATATTCTTGATACCCACCGTCGCCATATCGGCGTTTTACTCAATCGTACAGTTGTTAGTTCTCAGACACTTATTTGCCTTGGTTATCAGGCAATGTCCTTCACTTCACAACTTCTCCCTCTCTGTCTGTCTGTCTATGAATGATTGAGACCATCAAATCATCTCCCTCCACCTAACCCCCCACTCCCCCTTCGCAAAACTACTCTCAACAACCACGCCCTTCATAACAGCCTCACACTTCTTCTTCTCACTCTCCCCTTCAACCGCAAACCCAAACGCACACCCCCTCCTCGCAGCCTTCCTCACCATCTCCCTCTCATCCGCTTTCCGCTGCCCCTCCCTCCGCTTCAACTTCATCTCGTCGGTCTCCTCGATGCGTTCAGCCCAGCCTTTTTCTCCGCCCACGCTGCCATTGACATCGTTTTGCGCTTGGGGCGGGCGCACTTTACCGCCGCCGTAGCCGTATTCTACGGTGTCGGGGAGGGCGGAGGGGTCTGCGTCTGCGTCTGTAGAAGAGGCTGTTTTGGTGGGTTCGAGGACTATGCCGCCTTCGGCTTCGGCGTCGGAATCTGATACGCTTTCCTCGTCGCTGGTGTAGTCTTGTGGGGGTTGCTGTGGTACAGATGCTGATGATGCGTCTGTCGTGCCTGTAGCAGGTGTACTGGATGCAGGTTGATCGACCATATCCACGCTCTTCCAATCCTCGGGCTTCTCGACGACAAACCGCGCTTTACGGTTCTTACGTCGTCCGTATACTTTTTCGGGATCTTTTTCCCGTTGGAAGACTATCTCTTCTACTGTGCCGCATTCGATGATGATTCTAGTTTCCCCTTTGACGGTTTTGGAGGGCTTCTTTTTGTGTTGTTTCTTCTCGCCTTTTCCGAATTTGGTGTCGTCATGTGCATTCTCTGGATCTGCATTGTTCTTGACTGGGTCTGCTCCGGCGTTCTCTTTTAGTGATTCTGGTGACGCGCCGTTGAGGAGGGCGGCGAAGGTGGCTTCGATCTTGCGGTCGGTGGGACCTGGTTTGCTATTTCGGCATCTTGCTGAGCAGTACTTGACTGCCGTTGCGTTTTGCGTTTTGCGGCGCTCGCTGATTACGCGTCCGCAGCTGTGGCAGTAGGGTACTGTGTCGCCGACGGTGAGGTAGAGGGGTGGTGGGGTGACAGCGTGCTTGCTGGGCCGCGACCAAGAGTCCATCCACGACATCTTGCTGAAGTTCTTGGTATTTTGTAGTGATAACGATCGGTATAGCTTATTCAAACGTAAAAGATGGGGTTGGCGTCGTGTGAATGAACGGTAGAAGATTGTCGTGCTTGTGGAGTTGGTAGAGAGGGTACGAGCGCACGACGTCATCGGCTGTTACCTACCTGGTACGCGGGTGTATGCAGGTACGAGGCTATGAACTGTGCCTCAGAAAGGCGTGAACGGGGTGAAGCTTGAATCATGTGCATTTTGCAGCTAAGAGTTGAAGTCTGTAATGACGTACTCGAATTGAAGTTTCCTACCTGTGCACTTGGTGTGGCTGCACGTGTGCTTCCAGCTACTAGAAATGGCCCTTATCATACCCTCCGCCTAATTACTGCGATCGATATATAATAATGGATTACTCAAGCCTACTAAATGCACCGACGTTGGTCAGCGGTATCCCCACAAACCTCCCCAGTCGGTCCTCGGATGTTCCCCATCACGCCTCACGCCAGTTGCCGAGCTTAACATTGCCCCGATCTCGGTAATCAGCACGCATCGCAAGATATACAGTCTCCATTCCGCCGATGAATATGGAGGATATATATGTTCTTCTTCGGCGCTCCACCCTCTGCCGTTATATAGGGGCAGCGGGAGATTTGCATACCTTGGGCTCTATTCTGCGCAGAACTTCAGGTCACGTCTTGCCCAGGGCATAAGGTCCGTTACAAAGCGGACAAATGGAACGTCTATCGCTATCAGCAGCGACTCCAGTGCCCCATTCCCCCTTCGCACAGTCGCCATCCCAACACCATCTCTCCGCTAGACGCCGTCGACCTCTGAGCGTGCGCCATCGCTGTAAGAGGGCGAAGCTGCAGCCAAGACCCAGAACATCCGCATCCATGTCGCCTGCGTTGGACCCCGCGACGGGTGAAACCGGCACCAAAGGATCGCGTGCGCATCCTATAGAGACATCGTCGACCCCGGAACCGGGACGCCCGAGACGGACTACCGCGCAGAGCGACATCCAGGACACAATACAGCACCCGGGCAATGTGCGCATCAACGTCCAGGGGGCCTTTATCGTAGACGAGGAGCAGCCGGGGACGCCCCAGAGCGAGGACTACGAACACGACCCGCACGACATCAGACTGCCGAACCACACTTCGGTAGTCAGCCATGTAGCCGTCGATGTGAGTGTACCTGCGTGGTCGTGTGCTTGATTGGTTGTGGCACGCGACCATTCACAGCGACCAGCCCCTTGCAGAGTCATAGCAGCATGCTAATCCGTCGTGCGCATCGCAGATAGGAGGCTCTCTAGCCAAACTTGTATACTTCTCGCGCGAACCGGGCGACGATGCGATCGGCGGACGTCTAAACTTCTTCAAGTTCGAGACAGACCGGATAGATGCGTGCATAGAGTTCATGCGCAAGCTCCAGGCTGATCAGAAGCACGACAATGGATCCAGGTCCCCGGACCTGTGTATCATGGCGACTGGAGGTGGTGCGTTCAAGTACCACGACAAGATAAAGCAGGCGCTGGATGTAGAAGTCATACGGGAAGACGAGATGGAATGCTTGATCATAGGTAAGGACACAGGATTGTCTATGGACAGAGAACCAGCATGCTAACTTCGACGCTTTACAGGCCTCGACTTCTTCATCAACGAGATACCAAATGAAGTCTTCACGTACAGCGAAGACAGCCCCATGACCTTCATGCCACACCCTCCCGACCCACCGAACATCTACCCCTACCTCCTCGTCAACATCGGCTCCGGTGTATCCATGATCAAAGTCTCAGGACCAAGGCAATACGAGCGCATAGGCGGAACATCACTAGGAGGAGGAACACTCTGGGGACTCCTATCGCTGCTCACCGGCGCACGCAGCTTCGACGACATGCTGCGACTTGCGGAGAACGGCGACAACTCCACGGTCGATTTACTCGTTGGAGATATCTACGGACAGGCGTACAACAAGATCGGGCTCAAGAGCACACATATCGCATCATCGTTTGGCAAGGTCTACAAGATGAAGCGCGCAGCGGAACGGGAAGCGGAAGATGGATGCAACGGCGATCTCAAGCGCCGAGAAGAAGCAGAGCACGTTGAAGGCTCGGCAGAACTCTCCCACGACCCTGGTTCCTTCCGGCCAGAAGATATGGCGCGATCCCTCCTCTACGCTGTGTCAAACAACATCGGCCAGTTGGCGCATCTACACGCTGAGAAACATGGGTTGCCTAGGATATACTTTGGAGGTTCTTTCATCGGCGGACATTCGCAGACTATGAATACGCTGTCGTATGCTATCCGTTTCTGGTCGAAGGATACGCGGCAAGCGTACTTCTTGAGGCATGAGGGATATCTGGGCGCTGTGGGTGCGTTCTTGAAAAGGCAGCCGAGGAACTGGGGAAGGAGGGAGAGTGGCGCGGGGTCTGTTAGACCTACTTCGGTTTCTTCGCGCGCTTGAGATCCGGCGACAAAGGATCTTGTCTCGGAAGGTTGACATAGTCGATGTCTTGTGATCTTGACCTTTTTGGGTGGTGGCTCGCATATAGAAGCAGCGTTCTTGTTGTAACATTGTTAATATCATTATTGATCTATTCAGCCTGGCGGCGCCGTACTCGATTGACTGTTTCCTAGATCCCCGCTTACGAAGACTATGAGGACCGCTGCATATTTGTACGCTTCTCCATCGGCCCAAGATCTCAACGCTTCCCTGAATGGTACGCGCACTCGTCTTATCGGTTGTACGCTAGGTTTGGACGATCGTGATCACTCGCAACGAAGAACGCATGGGAAGCATATCTTGATATCGCGCGTATCCGTGGTCCAGTATCACTTCTGTGCTTCGGCACATATTCAAAGGCAGTTCAATATGGCAGTCACACTCGAAAGTTGCAGCAGACTGAGCAGGCACTGGTGCTACCGAAATGCTGGTGATACTTGACCGGTCAACGGATCGGGCCATCCTGTAACCGTGCTGTTGTGCACAAAGCCAAGTCTAACCACATAACCGCCACCGCCGAATTTTATCCTGAAGAACAATCTCCTCGGATTGAGTAATTATACAGCATGAAATACTACGACGACAATGACTACATATGCGCCTCTCCTGAACTCACTCCATTCCAACCTGATCTGAGAGGTTGTCCTCCATTGTCGTTCCCACCTTCATGGCTATTTCAAGAAATTTGCGAGACCCCTCCGGTAGATGCTTCATTCAGTTAAACTTTACCAGAACTAACATTGAAGTAGAGTTTAGTTCAAATTGAACGCTCTGGCGATGGTCTAAAGTCCCGAAGGAAGCTGCACAAGTTGTATCACATTCATGCTCAGCAAAGTGAATGGCAGTCCATGGAGACTGTGCTGCTTCACCAAATGGTTCCTCCAGATCCACGATCCACATTGTCGCTTGATACCCGTGATGTACTAGGAAATGTTCGTGATGACGGGTCATTATCTGACGGCGGAGACTCGACAAACTCAGGTTCTCCTCCCATGAGCGATGCCAATCTCTGGAGAATGCAGGACATACCACTACCGCCATTGCCTTCCTTTGAAGTGCGATCAAGACTGCAAAAGTATCCTCCAAATCTGTCGATTAAGTCACATAGACCGAAGAAGAGTCGTTCAGGTTTACCTATTACCATTCACAGAGAAGGCATTTCCGCCACCGTGTTATCATGCGCGAACACTAGTGCGGATGTCAACGTTATCTCAGACGAAGTGGCAAGAAAAATAGGGCTTTCCAGAGCCGATGAAATACCAGAGAGGAAGGAGTTTGTTTTGGCTGATGGGAAAATCGTAGAAGCTTCCGGCCGCCTCGATCTAACTTGTTCATTCGGCATTGAAACCAAATCATTGGTCATGACGACATGCACCTTTTACGTCGTTCCCAGAAGTGCAACACCTGTCATGATAGGGTTGGGCTTCCTGGTACAGACAAGAATAATTACCGAGCAGAGAGAGAGACTCTTGCGGGTGCCAACGTCAGCTTTCCAGGCTCTCTCCCTGCGCTCTACGGACAGATCGAAGCAGCTTCTGACCTGCGAGCTGAACCACGTTAAGACATTAGCGACACCTGGGCTCAGGTCGGAAGTCGACATGATCTCGCCATCATTCGTGTCCGAGCGCAGTCTCAGGATATGTCCCGGTGAGGATACGATCGAACTAGCGGATGGTAGTATAGTAGTCACTTCGGGATACGTATATGCCAAACTGTCCATCGCATCCATCCGCGCGTTAGGTCCAGGCTCCCGTGTAGAGAGCAGCATCAAAATCAAGTTTGCATTGGCAAAAGACCTACGTCACGACATCCTCGTAAGCCGGGATTCGTTGGAGGGGCTTGGAATATTTAAGAGACGGCAAGATGCTCTTATACCCGCACCTCTCGACTGTAGACCATTAGGGTTAAACCGAAGGCGGCGGCGCGAAGCTAAAAGACACACTATCTCTGGTATTACTCAAGACATCGAAGCAGCCAGATCCAGGAATTGGGACGACGGTGAGTATACGAGTCCATCCATACGAGCATATTACGTCAAAAACCTCACTGACAATGCTACAGGAGATACAAGGACATCTCTCGACACTTCTATCATAGGTCAGCGTGAAAAGGGTCGCAGAGAAAGCGAAGTTGCTACGATCGCGCGTCTACCGTGGGACGCAAGACAAGCTGCTATAGAAACTGAAGCAACCAGGCAAGATACTTATGCGCGCGAACTCTACTTCAGTTCCGGACCCGATCCGTTGGCGTGTGAACATCCAGGCTGCGACGCAGAACCCATGTGGACACAGCAACTGCTTGAGTATGTGCCTCAACCAATGCCAGTGACCTGTGCTAACAAATACAGCTCGCACATGAAAACTCACTACCTGCGGCAACTACACTACTGTCCAGTCTCTAGCTGTTCGAGAAGTGAAGGAGGTGAGGGGTTCAAGAGGAAGGTCGAGATGATACGCCATGGTATTGTTCATCAAAGTCTGGCATATGCGTGTCCATTCTGTTCCGTGGCATATCTACGACCTGACAGTCTTGCGCAGTAAGTCAGAGATAAGACTACGATGTATCTGCACCAATGATACATTACTGACTTCTCTCTTCTCTTTAGGCATGTCCGCGTCGACCACGTGCACATGAGATCGAACAACCCCGAACTCCTTGCGGCATTAGCGCATCGTTCAGAGAGGAGAGGCCGTGGGCGTGGAAGCAAAGCAATTAGGTTTCACAAATAATGCCACTGACTGTGATTATCAGTCAAGGCAGAATATGTGATATGTCCCACAAAGAACAAAATTCCGTGAGGCATTCCACCAAACTTCTCAGCCTTACGCCAGCTGAGGTACTGCGGTCATAGCCTCCGCCACAAGTCTTGGCTGCATATGAAGAGAGGCATAACGGCAAGCAGACCTTTTGGTTGGACAGCGACGCGGGGCACGTTCTGGCCCCAGTAAATTCCCATGCCGCTCAGAGCATGCCTCTCGAGTGATCCGACATATAAGGTCCGCGTGGTAGCCTTTTCCTGCTGCTCCACAACCACTTTCACAGCGGCCTTGGGCCGTCTGTTGAAAGGTTTGCAGACTCCTGTTATCTATCATTATCATTCATATCTTAATTCCAAGTGCAGTCGAACTCACATTCTTCCCGCAGCCGCACCGCCGGGTGTTTGGCTTTGCGGTAAACCTTATTGCTACTTAAACACCAAAAGTGTCGGCGAAGGCCTTCACTGTCTTCGCCTTATTTTTATTTGCTACGTCTTTCACGGATTTCACGGATTTGCAGGATGCGGATGCATACGCAGTGACGGATACGAACTCTAACGACTTTAACGACTTTCCCCCTCACTTAGATACAGCCACTGGCCAATATTTCTCACCATTCGCTTTCGAATACGACGTCAACCCGATCATACATCGCCCTTACCTCAAATCCTCGCAGCACACGCAAGCTCCCCACCATGAATACAGGCTGTCAAAGGGCCCATCTCCAGTCATGACCCTTACCCAAGACATCGATTCTGTCTCATCTGCACCTTCCACCCCGCTGGCGCCGCCTGATGACACGCCGGTCAACCGGTCGGAATCCCCAGCAAGTAGTCTTTCGGCAAATTCATCAGCGCGTCTCTCCACCATTAGTTCCATCGAACGATCTGAAAGACTGGATGTTGTTTGTTGTCTCTGCGAGGAACGATTCCACCGCCATTGCGACTTGAAGTAAGTGAAAGTCCACCATCTAGTCTACACACTCAACTTACAGTAATACAGCAAACATACCAATCGTATCCACAATAAACGCGCGAAGTGCCCGTACGAGAGTTGCACGCAAAAGCCTTTCGGGTTTGAAGCCGACCTACAGCGACACATCCAAGCAAAGCACAGTACGGAAGGGAAAGTTGAGGTCGAGTGTATGGTGCACGGTTGTATGGAGAAGTTCTCAAGAAAAGACAACATGCTGAGACACATGAGGAAAAGACACCCAGGGGACTTGCTGTGAGATGGGAGTGGGAAGATGGTATGACGTCGATACCGAACAGCTGAATGAGAAGCCCATTTTGAATTTGCGTTGTGTCCGTGGCTTACTCAAGACTATGACCAATTCTTCGGCTACATGAAGCTCGGTATCACATTGCGCGAGCTCAAAACCAAGTTGAGCTTGTGGATATACTCGAGCTCGCCCTCTACCCCGAGGTCATGTTGGATCCACGCTGTCTGAACCAAGCCTTTCGCCTCCAGTAAGCTATTCAAGTGAGGGCCCTGTTCCAGTCTCGTAAAGAAGTCAAGCATGACCATCCGCTCTTCGTCTGTGTGAATCTCGCAGCCGACGATGAAAACAGCGAACGATGGCGGATATGTGTTCAGGCTGGCAATTATGGAGACTGCATCTTTTTTCCAGCTTTCTAGCCTGTTGGAATCGCCTGAGAAGTTTCGAGACACACGCTCGAGGTATATCAGGCCAGCTAGTCGGGTTAACTCTAGACAGCGAGACTGATCGTCGTCTTCTCCCCCCTTCTCAATAACGGAGTCAACATCGCTCAGTCGAACCTTGAGATCATCCAGGGACTGTTGATATTCTACCGAATGATAGTGCGGGTCAAAAGCGTACAGCCGTGTATCTAAGACGTCGGCGAGAAGCTGAACCACAGGATGAACATATGTTGAGATTGCAGCCATCTTCTTTGCAACCAGTGTGCGAGCAATTCGATACTGCATGACACAATGGGGGCTAGCCCCGTTGATACCAAGCTCTTGCGAAGTTGCTCGAATCGTATAGGTGCGCCAATGTCGGAAGCTAAAGCGCGTAAAGGTGACGAAGTAGTAAAGCCACTCTAGCATGACCGCTGCATCGCTGCCAATGTGGTATGCTTTCTGTTCGACGGTGGGTAGGACATTTGTTGCGCCGCAAAGATGGCCTATCCAGTCGCAGTCGAGATTTGTCTATGATTGTTGCGGTAATCCGTCAGTCTCGTCCTCATCTTTTCCGGAACAGTACTCACTTCTACCAAACACAAAGTCAGGCCAGTGGCAATGTGCTCAATACTGGCATCATGGTCCATTTCAGAGCTTGTGGCAATTATCAGCGCGTCTATAGCCGCGTTCTTTGCACGGGTCGCATGCACAGCATCGTGTCCGCGATGACGCGAGGCCAGTGCGACAACCGATAGCAGTAAAGCCTTTGACGCTTTTGATCGTCCGGATAAGGCCATGCGCAATAATAGCCGTCCAATGCCTGCTTTTTCACGGCCCAGGGTTGGTAGGATACCAATCATCACGTTCTCAACTGCGACTAGTTAATATCGAAACAGTCATCCCCCATAAGAGGACATACAGTACTGTATTAGATCCGCATCGCTAGCAGTGATCGCGTTCGGTACCGGGACCATGGTCTGGGTAAGCCTGGGCAATGCGAGCCTATACCTCTCAACATGCTCGCTTTTTACTAATCACACGTCAAGTTGTGTCAACAGCATGCTTGGAGACGCCGTACCTCCGCCTTTAGCATCTCTAGCAAGGATATGGAGGAGCACATCGGTCTGCGACACATTGACCCATCGCTCAGTTCTCTGTCGGCTTATCGTGCGCTGCGTCCCCGAACATGCAGACGCTGGCAGAGACCTCTCTTGTTGATCGTTTTGAGGCCATATGAGACGAATGCCATAACCACCGCATACTCGCTTGGTCTTCAAACACTTGATGCACGCAGGAACAGTGCGGTCACACGAGACCTTGCGATCTACGGAGGATGTTAACAAGTCAAATTCCCCATGACTTCACGAGATCAAGCACTACCTTTGCATGTCCAACACCCCTTCGTCGCAGTCATCCTAGATTAGTATCGCGTGGAGCTCGGGACAGACAAAGGCGTGCACTTTCAGTAAGTGCTGCAAAGAGATCGCAACGCCGCATATTAGAAATCAAGAGTTCACGAGAGATACATGCAAGCGAACAGCAGGGCGCTGGAAATGCTAGGCGGGAGTTACAGGTGGGAGATGGCCCAGCCCGTGGAGGCCCTAAGACGCCCCGCCCCGCAGTTATCAACGAATCACGCGCGATTGACTAACGCCGCGCCATACCCAAAATGGACGTGAAGCAACTATCTGCGAGCTCTTTTGTCAGCCTCGTGTACCGCCAAGCATAGATCGTCAAACGATCTCCTGCAAGCCACAGGCACGATCCTTCTGGCACATCCATTGCGGCAAGCTTAGTAGACCGCATATGCCTTCAAACAGAACTGTAGTCAAAATCCGCGAGCTCAGTGTTGTTGCTTACGAAGCCATGATGGTAGGAACGCTCTTGCCGCTCAAATACGGAGGAATGGCATCGCCTCGTAGAGTTGGTATAAAGGAGCTTGCTCGGCCTCTATAGTATCAGCATCAACTCACATCTCAGTACCAAACACTCCAGTCTAGAAGACACTTAATCATAAGATAATCAATCCTCACCCTTCACTATCCGATCCTCGATCCCCAAGACACCTCATTCTTCAGCATTCTTAACCACCAAATCAAAATGCCTTCCTACCTCATCACCGGAGCCTCCCGAGGAATTGGCCTCGCCTTCCTCGACAACATCTCCAGCAACCCCAACAACGTCGTCATCGGCCTTGTCCGCAACGTAGCTGCCTCCGAAGCCAAGGTCGCCTCTTGGAACAGAAGCAACATCCACTTCGTTCAGGGCGATCTCGAGAACTACGAGTCGCTCAAGAGCGCCGCCGCTGCTACAGCCAAAATCACCGGTGGAAGCCTTGACTACCTAATCGCAAATGCCGGTCTGGTGGAGGGAGGCTTCGACTCTTTCTCCATTCTCGGAAATGACCCGGAGAAACTCACAGCCAGTCTCACTCGCCAGTTCAACGTCAATGTCACAGGCAACATCCACCTCTTCAACCTTTTCATGCCGCTCATTCTCAAGGGACCTGTCAAAAAGGTCGTCACCATCTCAAGTGGTATGGGCGACATGGAGCTAGTGCGCAGGTACAACATTTCCGAGGACGCACCCTACTCCATCAGCAAAGCGGCAGTCAGCATGGCGGTTGCGAAGTTTAGCGCTGAATACGCCAAAGACGGAGTCTTGTTCTTGGCCATGTCTCCTGGGGTTGTGGGCACGGATGTCTACGCCGATCTTTCGGAAGAAGACCAGCAAAAGCTTGGAATCATGTCGCAGAAGTTTGCGGCATACGCACCCGACTTCAAGGGCCCCATTACGCCAGAAGAGTCAGTTAAGGCTGTGCTGAGCATTGTTGAAGCCTCCAGCGTTGCCAGAGGAGATGGTGGTGCTTTCTACTCTCACCTTGGAAAGGGTGAGAAGTGGCTATGAAGGAGACTGGGATAGTGACTGGATGATACTTAGACGGCGCTTAGTCTTGATATTTTCCGTTCAGTAGTTTAATATATACATTGAAGTTCACCCTATTGTCTGACTGGTGATTCTACAAGCACCTCCCCGGAATGCTCGCAGTAGCATTCTTAACAAACCCATTCAAGAACCCACCCCCACCACACTGCACACCCTTAACAAAAGCTTTCGCAACAGCATCCGAGCCAGCTGGACTAGGATGCGTGTGATCCACCGGGAAGAAAGCATCCACCTTTGTCTTACCCAGCGTCTTGAAGATATCCGCCGTGTACGCTCCATGATCCACATACATGGCATTGCTTCCCAGCGCCTTCGCCACATCCCTTGCATAACCCACGAACCTCCCACCATCCGTATACGAGAAACTGCCACCCTCCCACGGATTGTTAGGAGTTTGACTGCTCACGATAACCTTGGCGCCCTTGGCAATGAGCTTCTTGCCCGCCTCGGTAAGGTAGTAAGGAAACGTGTGAACGGTGACAGCTTGCCCGTTATACGTAGACTGGCACGTCTCAGATCCGGTACCAGGGCAAACTGAACGGCCGTTGTCGCCGCTTCCGAGGCCGCCGCCGTCGTTGTGACCGAATTCCATGATTACGATGTCGTTGGGTTTTACGAGGTTGGCGATTTCGTCGAAGCGGCCTTCGACGGTGTAGGAGCGGGAGCTGCGGCCGCCGATGGCTTTGTTGACGACGGGGAGGGTGAGCGAGTTGGGAAGGAAGACGCCCCAGCCTGAGTGGAACTTTGTTAGTAAGGGGTTCTTGTGTGGGGATGGGTGATGAATTGTACCTGTAGTTGCACCACTTGCTCTCGCCATTGTCGAGTCCCCAGCTAGATACACGGTCTGCGCACGCTTCTCGACATGACCGCTTGGAGCAGCCAACACTGTAGCCGCCAGCGCAGCCACCGATAGTAGACTTGAGGAATGCATGACGAAGAACACGATACTCTTCCGATCTCAAAACAAAAGTCTCAAAAGCGCTGAACCCAAAACCACCGTCCAAACACCCTACTATAACCCCCAACCACCACCAACCCTCACCTTCCCCATCCGTCCTCCTGTCAACTAATCTTCCGTAAGCCCCATCTCAACCTACTATACAAAAGCAACGAAGTACTACCGCGATCGACCCTGAAACACACCGAGTCCAGGCTAATTCCCCCAGATTATATTATCTAGAAGCCCTAAACTGCGGGGACACAGCCGGAAGCGGGACCCCTTCCTACAAATAGAACAAACATGTCAGGTCTCATGGTGACGGGAGCCGGCACTTGCGGACGTTAGTAATGGACGGTTTGGCGTAGATTGTTCCACCGGGGAAATACGTGGCTGGGCGCGGATGAATTAGAGCCGAGGGGTCAGACCCGACGACGGGAGTGTCGCGTGGCGGCGTGATGGTTGCAGTTGTGGAGGCTGCATTATACTTCCGCTCGTGCGAAGGGTTCTAGCGAGTTGATGGTGTAGGTGATGATGTGAGGATGGGTAGATCATGCTGGGCATGCATGTTACACATCGCGCTAGCGCTATGCGGGATATCTCTTTCCGAGATGTCCGCCTTGAGACTAGCACATCGTGTATGGTCACACAGACTTCGAAAGAAACATCCGTTGAAGCGCAGACATAGTAATGCAAAAGACGATATGATTCATGTATCTAATGTTCGGCCCATGAGGGGGTGGATGCCGTACTACAGACTCCGCGCCCCGGCAACCTAAAGTGTATAATATCCCATTAAACTTTGCTCGACACGCCCACGCCAAGAGAGAAAAATCAAGACACCAAAGAGGACAAAAAAAAAGTATCAAAAGTGGGGGCAATGCAAGAAGCGCACTGCCATGCATGCCAGATGTGGTGTAAACAAGAGAATGATGTGCTCGATGTTGTGGAAGAACGCCGTCGGGGGATGCTCGCGTCGAGTGTCCATATGCAATCGTCAAGGTATGTGTGCTGAAGGAATGCTGAATGGGTATCGAGCCGGCCGAATGGTGTTGAAACATGACTGACGTGGGAATGCCAGTCGAAATATATACGAGATCCTGAAGTGAATGTTGTTTGCCGCTATGGCCTGCTTCCCCTATGGCTTAGCCAGGTCGTCTAAACGCTTCGACGTTCAACGTGGGTGTCTCGACTTGTCGGTTCGTCGGCACGCCTTCGTTCTTTCTCCTATCGAAGAAGTTCTGGCACTCGTGGCTGACAAAGGTCCATTCTGCGAGAGCACGACCTGCGTAGGTACTTGATGTTACAGCAGCGCCAGTTGGAGGGGTACTGAGGACGGGTTCCGTGTTAATACCCCTTGCTTGTAAAAGATTGTGTGCTGGAGCCGGAAGTTTCGGAGGTTGGAGGCGCATGTTATGGTACGTGCCGAAGCGCTTGTCAACCCATTCTAGAGAGAAGCGGAAGTTGTAGGTTCGATGAGTCGAAGGTGGCGATACTGGCGCAGGCACAGGGGGCTCTGAAACCGCAGATGCAGTGGTAGAGAGTGCGTCGGTTGACGAGTTAGCAGACGACGTCTTGCTGCCATTCTCCTTATCTTTGATCGATGCCGCAGGGCTCTTGGCTTTCGCAGTCTGCTTGGAGCCTCCGCCGATGAGACTTCGCAGGATGTTCCACTTGCCCTTGCCGGGGTCTTCATCAGGGAAGTCGCTTGAATCCGCGGACAGGGCGGACGCAGGCCGAATCTCCGCTTCGGGTATGGTGGTGCTGGCAGGAGTTGGCTTTCGCTGATGGGGGTTTTGAACCACACCGTCGAACGAAAGGAAAGGGCCGTTGTTGGCCACAATAGGATTATCATTACGGATGATAAGGAAACGTCGGCCTGGTGCAGGGTTGCACGCCTGGGTCGATGGGTATACGATCTGCTTACGCTCAGCTTCTTCTTGAAGCCAAAGGTAGTGAGACCAAATGGACCGGAGGCGGTCGCTCAAAGCCTTCTTAATGGCTCTGTTCATCATTAGCATGTGTCATCATTTTCAGGCCTCAGGGATACGTACACCTCAGTATCGGTCTCGTTTCCGTCATAGCGCGCAACCCGCCAGCAGATCAAACGCATAAAGTAAGATCGTACCATAGGACACCAATGGTTGAATCGGCTCTCGAAGAAGGCTGGTTCCAGGAGAAAGTCAAGGCATAGCCCAGCCTTTCTTCGCTCGTCCATAACCAGTGTACACCAGCTGCTATAAAGGAAGGCGTACAACTTGATCTCGGTGGCTGTGTTGTGACTGGCGGCCATTGCCTTGAAGACGGTAAGCCAGAATGGCCAGTCCATTACAGCGTGTTGGTCACTGTCGTGCTGTTCATAGCGGACCATGATGATCAGAGCCTCCTCAAGAAAGTCACAGAGTGTGTAACAAGCACTGTTGTCGTATATCGAGATCTTGCGTGCCTGCGCCTGTAGGAGCCGAGCAAAACTGTCGGCGAACATGCGCCTGGCGATGTGAAGATGCGAATTCCTTTCAGAGAGGAAATCCCGGATTAGCATTATAAGTCGATTCTCTTGCATCATCCTCGTCGCATTTGCAGGTGGAATAGCGATACTCGAGGCGGAAGCATCGGGTTCTAGAACGTCATCAAAGGTGATGTTTGCCGCGGTCGATGGATCTTCCTGCTGTTGTGGGGTAGCATTTCTGTTGATGGTCGCATCGAGGTTGACCAGAATTTGGGCATGCACCATGATGAGTCCTGGCACGCAGATGCGCTCCGCTTTGCTGGGCTCGACAGGTAGGAAATCGCTAACGAGGATATGGAAATGCTTGACAAAAACATAGAAAAGGTCGCTCTCAGCACCAGACCAGCGCTTTGTCCAAAGGCCGTACCAGTCGAGGTTCGCCATAGCGAGCGGGGGCAACACAGGCTTGTGTAATTGGCGCAGGAGTCGGTTGAGCGAAAGCAGCTTCAGCGAGTGGAGCATGGGAGGGAAAGCAGCCACAACTCGATCAGAAACAGCATCCAACCGATCAAGCTTAGATACGCCAGATTCCTCCATGACGCGCTTCATCATGTCTAGAGAGGGACCCCACAGGCGTACTAGAACGTCGGCCACGCCTGGACAGAAGCAAAAGGCGTACGCGCACGTCTTTCCGCAAAAGGTGACCAGACTAGCTGCGGCGTTCCTCAACGACATCTTTTCTACAACAAAGGCCATCTGAGATTGTAGATTCTGTGTAAAAATGTTCCGAACGTTGTGGTAAACCGATTCGGCAAGGAAGTCGGAGTTGGCAGAAGCGTTGGAGCTGGTGGTAGATGCAGACAGTGTCTCTACGCGGTCGGCAAGAGCACAGAAAGGAGACGGATACAGTCTCCATTCAGGCCTCTCCATGACTGCGGCAATACCCTCCAGAATGACAGGACGATCTGTTCCAGAGATGGACTGATTGTTCCGTCCTGCGACGAGCTCCAAGAGGCCGGTCCACCATCCATTGAGGATGTTCACTCGCCGGTCAAGGTCTTCGGGCCTGAGCTTGTGGTTCGAGGGATGTGAGGAATACTGTCGGAGGAAGGGTAGTAGGGCGGTGCGGACGACGTTTGCTTTGAGGGAACTGGACTTGGATTGGAACCTGTCTTCTGTTAGCTCTGAATTGAATGCGGGAAGAGGGATTCTTACTTGCGCAGATCCCCGTCCAAGGTTCTGAATGCAGTCCATAGCTCGTCTTTCTTGCGGGGCTCCGTCTTGATTCCCTTGAGCTTCTCCGCAGATACGTTGCGTGGTAGGGGTGGAACAATGTGGGTCGGGCTGACTGGGTTGTGGTTCTGCGGGTAGTGGGGAAGCTTTTCTGTCGAGAAGGATTTCGGGACGGACGGCAGGTTGGAAGCGCTGCTCGACGCGGCAAATAGACCACTGAGACGCTTGTTCTTCTTGGCAACGGGCGCTGGCTGTTGAATCTCTTCCTTCACCGTGTCCCTGGCTTCAGACTCCTCTGAGATCCTGTCTGTAGTCGTGATTGTGGTTGTGAGCGTTTTCCGCTTGGCCGCCTCGGTAGTAGGCTGGGTCTGGTCGCCGAGACTCTTCTTCTTGAGCTTCTTTTCCTTGACCGGCGAAAGAGACTCACGCGGCTGCTCCTTCACAATCCACGACTTCCTCCGCAGGTTGGTCAGGGACCGTGAAGGGGAGCCAGCGGGCGAGTCTGATTGCTTCACAGCGTCGGTCCGGCCACGTTCGGCCTTGCGGTCGGTCTTGCGTTCAGCGGATGGCTCTCTGCTCCTGCTGGAGAAAGGGAGGAATCGCGAGGAGCGACGCGAGAGGTTGTTGGGCCTGAGTTGCGGCATTTCCACGCCAGGGAGTTCGGGGGCCTCTTCTGAGGAGGGACTCGAGCCACCCGAGTGGCTTTCAGACGTGCGCTCTTCGCTCTTGCCGGTTTCGACATCGTCGTCAGAGCCTCCCCTCAATTCCACCACGGGGGGCTCGTGGTCCAGATCCTTGACCTGGGGGAAGTACGTGTACGAGGCGGCCTTGGGGAGCTGGGCGCGCTCCGTGTGGCTGGGGGGCTGTGGACCCGGGCCAACCTCTGAGGCGGCTCTGCTCCTGCCTCGAATGGCATTCGCGAGGGAGTAGTGGCCGCGAGGAGCCGAAGCAACGGCGATGGGCATGGCGACGGGTGGGTTGGACGTGGGCGAGGCAGCAGGAAACAGCCGGGGATTCGTAAAGTTTGACGTGTTCCAGAAAGTTTACGGGCTCATGGCGGTGAATTGGGACGGTTGCGGCGTTGTGGTGCTGTCAGGCGGGCCGTTGTGCAGCAGGCAGTGAACGGGCAAAGGTGCAGTATACTCCAGCCGGGCGCGCGAAGACGTCACAAGTGAGGCTGTGGTACCGGAAGCGAACGGCAGCCGCTCAGAGGACGCGGGGGAGAGCAAAGCGAGTGGAATCTGCTGCGACAGGATCGGGCAGTAAGTTCAGTAGCGACTGGCAGGCCTTGGGTTAGAGATTCCGCGCTCACTGACGCCGCTGGGGGCAGGTTGAGGGCTATTACTTTGACGCTTTCGCAAGCGGACGAACTGGGGCTAGCAGGGGTCGTCGCCTGCGCAGATCGCGTCGGAGCGATAATAATTCTATATTAAAAACGGGCGTATTCTTGGTATCATTTGCCTTTCGTCTACTGACCCGCGCCGCGCCGTTTCTTTACATTTCCACGCTGCGACGAGTACGAGCTTTAGCCCGCCACCCACCGCCAGCATGACGCCTTTCGGATCGTCGCAGCTGGCATGCCTGCCTGTGTGACGGTGCTGCGCATCTGATGCAGCGACACGGTCGGGGCAAGATGCGTCTGCTGCGCGGTGGGCCCCCGGCGAACCAACTTGTTTTTTCGCGACGTGAACTGTGAACACTGCAATCTCTCGCTGCCGTAATCTCCTGGCCGGTCCCTAGACATACCGCAGACCCCAGTAGCTTACCGCCTCGTATAACGGCTCAACTCCCTTCACTTATCCTGACGTACTGCTTTCTACTCGGCAGTATGAGACCAGTACGGTTGACTACTGTGGACAGGTGCTAGTGCCTCAGGGTAAACCTCTCAACCGAAAAAAGTCCATGGCACGCATGGCACTAGGACGTCGGTATGCAAAGCCGCAGATGCAGATGGTGCGATAGGCGACCGACCGTGCCTGCAGCTACTGGGGCAGACTCCAATTGCGAGGCTCCTTCTGACCCACGCGTATCCTGTGCTTTGTCCGAAGTTCCGAACCGTGAGCATTGTCGGAACGGGACATGCCAGCCTGACGACTACTGTGTAGTGCACAGCTGAGTGCGCAGCCCGGCTTATCTGAGGGGCCACGGTCGCTGCAGTCGCGTGTGCATGTGTGTAGCGATCATCATTGCGCGTGTGCCTGTCGGAACAGCGTGCATCAAGCCGGTCAGAATGCGACGCATCGTGTGTGAATGTCCTCTGAGGTAGGCATAGATGCGACATTCAGTCTCTCGTTACAGCCTGGCACGTAAAAGCAATCGGGCTGCTGTCAGAACCTCATGACGATCCTGGCACCCCACAAATCCCTCAATCCCTAACCCCTCGAGCACCCCTCTCCTGAACGTACGCCAAGTCGTAAGGTATTGCTTCTCAAACAACAATGCACATGCACAAAAAGTACACAGTTCAACAGCTGCGAGCCCCTCTTAGTTCCCAGAGCAGCAGCCCGAGCACGGATGTCAGACCCTGAGAAGGCTAGTTGTAGAACTCCCACGTCTCATGTACTTGTAGATCACGGTCCGCAACGAGTCAAAAAGAATCATATCCGCGAGGAGCTTAGTTTACCTTGTTGAGACGAAGACAGTGGTTTCGACGCAAAGCACTCTCTCAACTAAGCTTAGCATCGATAGTCATAACTTTATCTGCTCATGTACCCCCACGTTCATAGTCACATCACGTGATTCACATATTCCCGAACAGAGCTCCTGTTGGCTTCATCGCTCAATGGTATTGACACAGTCGCTAGTGTTTTGATACATGATCTCCCTCAACCAGCAATGCTCCTCTAATGGGTGGCACCGGCGGTGGTAATGCTCTCATCCTCCTCCTCGAACCAGTCCTCTTGCGGGAGCACGGCATCGTCCTCGCCTTGAGCGCCCTCAACATCAACTGCCTGTGTCTCGTATGACTTCAACTCGTTCGCAATGTCGGTCTCCTCGGGGGAGGCGGGGGCCTTGGGGACGGTGAACTTCTGGACGTGGGCCTCAGCATCGGATGCCTTGACTTCGGGGACCTTGTAGGCCTTGAGCTCGCGGAGGTAAAGGTCCTGCACTAGGTCGGCTACGGCACCAATTGGGTCAGTACTGTCGCGTCTTCAAGCATTCGGGATGAATCACCTGATCGGACGGCCGAGGGAGTGATGAAAGTGCGGCGAGCGACAAAGGCAGGTTGCTGCCGGGCGACGCGGACGAGCGCCTGGCGCTGTGGCGGGTCAGTACGTGTCCAGATTCCACCAGCAGTAGGAGCGTACCGAGGCCCTGATGGATTGCGCGATCATTGTGTAGGTGTAGTGACGTGGGGAAGCTGGCAATGGGAGCTACAGTGAAGGTCGATGTTGGGGAAAAACCGTGGACCGCCGCAGCTTGAGCCGCCGCCCGAAACGGCTTAGCGTCATGCCAAGCCCAGCAATGGCTGCCTGCGCGCCGAACTACAAGTTTGTCGTCGCAGGCTTTCCTTCAGTCTCGCAGCCTGTCTCATACCACCACACTCGCTCATCCTGCTCCAGCCCGGACGCAGCCTACACGTGTGTCGGTCGACCGCGCGCAATAGCTAGATAACGAAATACACTCTATAGCCCGTCCGCAACTGCTCGAAGATGTCGTACGCCCCCGATGGCCGTCTGCTGTCGCCTGGCGAGGTGTATGAAGCCGCACCCACACTCGTGAAAGAAGACGAGTGGCAGGAAGACCTAAACGTTGCCATGATCTGCCCCGACTGCAAAGAAAACCCCCCCAATCTGGTCGAAGAGTTCAGCGCCGGCGACACCATCTGCGGTTCTTGCGGTCGCGTGCTTGCGGAGAGGACTATAGACACGCGTTCCGAGTGGCGCACCTTTTCCAACGACGGCAAGTACTTGCCTGCGTGGAAGAAATGCAAGTGACACTCATGCTAACACTGCGCCTTGTATCTAGATCAAGGAAACGACGATCCCTCTCGTATCGGAGACGCCGCGAACCCCCTGCTACACGGCTCTCAGCTCCAGACTGAGATCAGTTTCGGTGACGGCGGTATGAGGTCTAGGGACCTGAGCCGCGCGCTTAACAAGACCAACCACGACAAGGTCAACAAGGCGCTGCAGGCCGCGTATGGACAAATCTCCGCGCTCTGCGACTCACAGAACATCAGCCGCCCTACCGCTGAGACGGCCAAGATGCTGTTCAAGATGACCGATGACGCAAAACTCTTCAAGGGCAAATCGCAAGACGCTATCATCGCCGGGTGCATCTTCATAGCCTGCAGAAAGCACGACCAGCAGCGCAGTTTCCGCGAGATCTTCAAGATGACCAACGTGAGCAAGAAGGAAGTTGGCCGTACGTTCAAGGTGCTCGAAGCCTTTATACAAAAGTCCCAGAATAACGGGCCGTCAGTTGCAGGAAACGGTGCCGTCATCGACACTGTCAACCTTCTCAACCAGAAAGGCGGTACCACAGCCACCGGCGCCGCAAGTCTTATGCCCCGTGCCTGCGCCAAACTCGCCCTTGGAACACAAGTCCAGATGGTCGCAGAAGAGTGCGCGGATCAGGTCGCCCACTACGGAGTTGCAGCCGGACGCTCCCCCCTCTCCATCGCCGGCGCCTGTCTCTACCTCGTCTCCCACCTCATGGGTCAGCCCAAATCTCCAAAAGAGATCGGTTTGGCTGTCGAGGTCAGCGACGGAACGATCCGCACAGCCTACAAGCTCATGCACTTGGAGCAGGACAAGCTTATCAAGGAGGAATGGATCGCCAAGGGTGGCGACCGCTCCAGGATTCCGCAAGCTTGATCATTATCATTTCTGTACTGTCTTATTCTTTTCCTTCAAGTATGCATTTACATGGTAGGGCATTGCGACGGAGTTGACCAAATTGGGGCTTGATTATCAGTATTGCAAGCACGATTTCCTCATTCCAATTCAAGGGGAAAAAATATCGCGAGGCCTACATCGACATTAGGTCTTCTCTTTTGCTCATTATCGTCCTAATTTAGGCTTTAGGCCTGTGTAGTTTCTTCCTTGTATGAGATGCCACCTCAAATTGCTTTGGCAGCAACACATGATACCCAATAGATAGGAAGACATCGAAAAAATTGAAATGGCGTTGGTTTGAAAAAAATTCCCCAAAGTCTACCTTGCTCTTAGGATTGTACAAACATCTGATTTCATGCTGACGCAGAATGTAGTATACCTGTTCGGTGTTCCCCCTTGTATGAGGGTTTTCCGTTGTGCTGAAGCGGCCTTCGTAGTTTGGTACCAGGGACTACCAGCGAGCCCTGTTGAACGCACATTACCAGTACATCGTCCCAACGACAACGGCGTCTGTTCCGCGATTGCGACTTCCAAGATACCACCCAGACGGCGACATGCTCTCTGCCTGCGTGAGGAGAATAAGATTGAAGATACTGTATTCCAGACTCAGAAGAGCATGCGTAAAGATGAGGTCGTCAACTTCGAAACTGCCTGTTCGATTGCGAGCACGAAGTGTCTGGGACTCCATACGATACCCAAGCAATAGTGATCGCACGCGTTGTTCGTGCCTACCCCTCCGGGGAAACCCGATCAACACACCAGCATTTCGTGAAGCCGTAATGGATGCTCCCCCAACGCCCCTTCATTACCATGAGACCCCTGAGAAGGGCCCCACGAAGAAGATGACCGGAAAATAAGGGTGAATCGCTCTTCCATAAAACCACACATGTCCCTTTCCTCTTTCCTGTAAAGCTCTCATCTCGTTCATCCTCAAGCTTATTGGGATTTGCTCCCAATTTGCTCTTCTCAGAGCCTCCTACCTCATTTCATCCCACCCTATCTCATCCACGAAACATTCCAGCCATGAAGTTTACACTCTTCATCCTCGCGACGCTCCTGAGCATCACCTTCCTCGGCACGTCAGCCAAATACGTCAAATTCATCAACCACTGCCCGTACAACATCTTCTTCTGGGCCGTCGGCCCCCCAGCCTCGCACATCGATGGCGGCGACTCCTTCCGCAGCATGGTACCCGGCAACGGCGGCTCCGTCATTCACCCCATGGTCGACACGGAGAGATTCGGCGGCGGTCTCTCGTTGAAGATCAGGGATCTGGATTACTATACTCCTGGGCCTGCAGGCATCATTCAGGTCGAGTATAACCTTGAGGAATCCAAGGGGAAGATGTGGTATGACCTTAGTGCTGTGGATTGTGATTTGAAGGCTGGGCCGGCAAACCCGAAGTATTGTCGTATGTATTTCCCCTTGATGGACAGAGGACATGTAGACTAACGGTATTTTCAGCACTGATTCGAGGTGGTGTGAAACTCTACATCAACCCAGTACCCAACAAGAAAGACTGCCCATATGCGTACTGCAATGAGGAGAAGTGTGTGAACACTTATGTTAGCCCAGGCGGGTTCGCGAATGAGCCAAGCCTCATGTGCTGGGCTGGTGCTGATATCTTCGTCGAGACTTGTAAGTTTACTGGCCTCTTTGAACGTTTGGACAATTACTGATGATCAATCCCAGGTACCGACGGCCCAGGAGTCCAGACATTCTTTGGCAAGGAACCAAAGACTGCTGGTTCCGTCCACCAGGCCATTCCTGCACCGGTTGTTCAGCCTCCTGTTGTCCAGCCTCCTGTCATCGCTCCCAATGGCATGATCGTCTCTCCAAATGGTCAATGTAAGTCTTTCACCCGCCTACCTCATCCTGAACACATCACTAACCACGTTCTGACAGGCGGCGGCACAACTGGCTTCACCTGCAACGGCTCCCCGAAAGGCCCCTGCTGCAGTCCCTATGGCTATTGCGGCGACACAGCCGCTCACTGCAACCCCGGCTGCCTCCCTTCCTTCGGCTACTGCCACGATATATGGCAGATTCCTCCGATCGGCCGCCGTGCTGCAGCCCCTGAGCCTTTCACCTATCCTGAGCCGTCTATCGTCACCTCCCAGCCTTCCACCGTCGCCCCCGAGCCTTCCATTGTTACCAAGGTTGCAAACGTCTTCACTTCGACTACCACTGCGACCGAGACCGAAGTCGATTGTGACACGATCAAGCATACCGTTACGAAGGTTGTGAAGGCCACGAGGAAGCCCGGTTCGCAGTTTACGCCTCCGCCGCTGAGGAGAAGGTTTGCGGCCATGTAGGTAACAGCTGGTGAGATGGCTTGCTTCAGATCTTTCCATACCTTCGTTCAGGAATTTGAGGTTTTGGGAAGCTTGTTTACATGGAAGCCGATCCTCGGTATAACTAGTTCGGACGTGGGTGGGCATGGCTGGAAGAGCTACGGAGGGTCGGGTACTTCCCAAGGCGTTGGAAGGCGCTTTATACCCCTCTGAGCGATTTGGCGCTTCTTTACTAGATAGATTGAATGAAAAATGTCGTTGAGAACTGCTCTTGATGCATTGTGAGATGTGTGTGATGATTGCGTGGGCACTTGGTGTTGCGACGATCGAACCTTTGGAGGTCACGCCACAAATCGTAGCTCTTTCATAACGCCCGCAGTTGTCCAAGATTTGGAATGAATTACTTAAGTCGTGATGCTCCGGGTGTTGATGGTGGTGTTGCCTGCACGCCCAAGTGAATGGACGGGGCACTAGCGCGCCACACCCCTGCTCGCCTAGCTAGCGCACTTTGCAAAATTGCCCACCGTTCACACCAGCTCTCACGCATCGCCAGCGACAACTCCATCTCCGAACGCCCAACCCAGCTCTTCCGCACACCGAACGACCGACTCCCGTCGAACTTCACAACCGCACAAAATGGACTCTGCTAAGGCCCCCGTCAACCTCGTCAAGGTCACCCGTGTCCTTGGCCGAACCGGTACGCGAACTTTCCGAAAACCCCGAACTTTTCTGCGAGACGAGCGCATACAATAGTTGGGGGATGCACAACGTGAGAGAATGGCAGGCTGACGGATAATCACAGGCTCCCGTGGTGGTGTCACCCAATGCCGCGTCGAGTTCATGAACGACCAGACCCGTTCCATCATCCGCAACGTCAAGGGCCCAGGTACGCACGCTCTACCTGCTGAACGAAACCCCCGCATACTAACGGAGACATCACAGTCCGCGAGAACGACATTCTCTGCCTGCTCGAGTCTGAGCGTGAGGCCAGGCGTCTGCGATAAGCGCAAGCAAACTCTCGGGGGAAAGCGGAAAGCGGCATTTTCTATTCGGTTACCGGAGTTCTTTGCGAAAGCTATGGGCATCTATACGGAATTCACGAGTATGGACAATATGATGGCGTGGTAGTTGCTCTTGCAGCGCTGCGAAGGTGGGGGATGGAGATGATGGATCTGTGGAGACCTACGATTACGACGACATATCAAGAGTCTGGGTTCTCTCCCTGAATGAATCGAAAATCTACCAACTCCCAACGAGCATCGCGTGGATGGATGTGATATATGTGGCGGCTGCTTGCAGGACTTGTCTGGAATCTTGGAGTTGCTGAACGGGACTGACTCGATTACAGGCACGTCTTGTGAGCGTTCGACCGGGTCATGGTTTTACTGACACTCGAGCCACTCGGCATGCTTTCGCTGTGATTCACTTGATGTCCACTTTAGATGATACGCAATACCACGGAACGACGCTGAGGGAACCATCTGTCAGTTTTACGAACATATACTTACATGTTATTAGGTTGAGCAACTCTATCCTCACGGCTGTGTGATTTTCATAGTAAACGTCAGAGCACTTCCCGTCTCGCATACTCTCCCGAGGTCGTCACTACAACGGTATTAGCTTGCTGTGACGTCCTACTGCCTTGACTGCCGTTTCTGTGAGGCCATTCACTGGAGTCGCAAGAGACATGGTTGAAGCGAGTGTGAATCCTCTACGTCCTACCGTTGCTCTTGTGACGGAGGCTCAATTGAGCATTGGCTCTCACTGTTGCTTTTTCTCATTCCCCTTGTCCTTACGAGTACAGCGAACGCTCCACCCTCAACACAACCAACTTGCTCAGCTTCCGGCTATCCCCGTACTCTTCGATCGCCAGCATGCAGGATAACGACGTAGCAGAAAGGCTACGTGATCTACTCGCAAGGTCAGGCCCGAAGGCTCATGTACAACCTACGTTACAGCACACGAAGACCATCACACCTGTACCATCCCCACGCGTAACAGCCCAGGCTTGCATGATACCACCCAAGCCTTTAGACTTAGATTACCCACGCGTTAGGGTACCAGGAAGTTCACAGTCGTCAGTATCGGCGGCAACTCCTCCAGGCTCACCTAAGTCCATCTTCGGATCAGGCCTCTTCGGTTTTTCGAGATCACCTTCAAGGACGACTGTACCGCGCTCGCTAAGCAATAGTCAGAGTGGAGGGTTCTTCAACCCCTTGTTTCATCGTAACACAGCCGACCGTAGAGAAGATGGAGCTAAAGACCACCAGTCAGTAGCTGTAGACTCGACCGAATTGTCATCGTCAGGCTCCTCGTACTGTGTGGTGGGGAGTTCTATGAACATGCTTCCAGGGCTGACATCGATCTTTCATTCTGGTTCGCCTTCCAAAATCGCTGGGGGAAATGCGCTTTTACGCGCTCGTAGTGAAGACAGCATCAGTGCAAAACGCAATGACTTTGAGCATCGAAAATACAAGGCCTCCAAGATGAGCAAGACCGCTCCGACTTCACCGAAGACGTTACCGCCGCGGCCTACCTCAAGACGCATTCGGACAATCAGTTGGGCGGACCAGATCCCAAAGCAAGCCGTAAAGTCACCGCCGCCGTCATCTGATGTCGGTGTCGGAGGAGCGCAAACAGATCACGGCTCCGAAATCGCACCACTTTTTGCTCAAGAAGACTTCGATAGCTCCCCAAGCAGCTTGACACTCTCCCTCAACTCGCCTTTCTCTTCTAGCCCACACCTCCCCGCACAGCCTCGCACACACCAACCCGACATTGCTAACGCCATGCCAACTAGTCTACGCGACCTCTCGCCATTCAAGGGTAAACCCCTCTGGGAGCCCGACGACGATGAATGGGCCGAGCTAGACGCTACTCAAATCTCCTCCACTTTCAAAGCGACCTTCAAAGAACCCAGCCAACGCAGTCCGCAAAAGTCGACCAACACCAGCACTCTATCCCGCTTCAGCGCCACACTGACATCCCTCCTCCCCTCGTCTCCCACAAAACGCGCTTCCGATGCCCTCCTCCGCGAAGAAGAAGCCCTGCGAGACAGACTGGAAGAACTGCAGAACACATACTACTCCAACCCTGCCGGCGACATTTGCGACAAAGTCATGAACTCTGTCTTCCTGCCCGGCTCCCAGTACTTCCACTGCGACCAGAGCAGAGATTCTGTCCGCAGCCCCCACGTCATCAACCTAGAAGCGTATTTCAACAGTCAAGACACGCTGGTACAAGCGGCTTACCCGCGTCTCAGCGACGCCATCGCCACCATCCTCAGTCACACGAACAAGGAGTGTGTAGAAGCGTTCCTAGACCCACGAGTGGAGGAGTTCGTGTACAGAAGGGAGGTGGAGAGGAATAAAGCAGGGAGTATCTTTGTGATTAGGAGAAAAGGCAATACCGTCATCGTAAGTCCTTCCTACACACATCCACATTAAAACAGTGTGACAACGACGACCAACTGTCACAAGAACAAGGACTAGACTAACAGATACAACAGGCAGGCTCCTACCGCAACCTAGGCTTCTCACTCTCCTGGACCCTCTACGTCAAAGCCGTGATCGGCGCAACAGGACTATGGTACGACACCTATGCTTCGCCCGTGGCAGGCTCGACACCAATCGTCGATGGCGTACCAGCTTGGGATACTTTTGTACCTATTGGGACTGAAGACCCATGTCTCTCTCTCCAACTATCACCCGAAATCACCCAACCCAACATATCGCCCCGCAAGATCATCTTAGCCAGTCCTGTTCCGCGCAAGGAAGATATGGTAGAGGAAGACGACGAGATCATTCCTACGAATGAGAAGTTTGTGCTGTATCAGAGCAGGACGCTTGCGAGGTATCTGTTGAGGGATGTCTGGATTAGGCTTGAGGGGCGGTATGAGTGTAAGGCTACGTGGGAGGTTGATGGGGTGGGGAGGGAGGTCAGGCTGAGGAGGGCGTTGGTGGGGTTTGGAGATGAGGATGATGAGTAGTGTTAGCTTCGAGTATAAGAGATGTCGCAGAACGATGAGTTTTGTGCTGAGAACAAGCGACCAAGAGGTGGTCGATGAACCATCATGCTGCGGATAAGTAAAGTCCTCACATTCAGAGCATAGTGGAGATGATCATGTAAGAGGAAGAAGACTTTTAGAATTCATCGTAATCTATGTAAAAACCGAAAACCCAGAATCCGTAGACCCAATTGTATAGTAAACTCGTTGATCTATAAAGGTGATTTGCAAGCTTCGCTATGCAAGGATATAATCCCGAAAAAAAAAGAAACGCCAGGAAAATGCTTATGTACAACAACTCTTAACCCATGAAACCACTTAAGCAATAGCAGACTGGCCACCCTCAAGGTTGACAGGGTTCATCTTGTCGTCAAACTTGAACTTGAAGTCCTCGCCAAGCTCCTTCTTCATAGCGGTGGTAACAGCCTCGAAGACGTTCTTGAAGACACCGAAGGAAGCAGGGTTCTGCTCGTCGTTGTCGCCGCCCTGGAAGACACCAGTGCGGACAAGGCAAGTGTTCCAGCCGTACATGTTACCACCGACGATGTCGGAAGCGGGGTTGTCACCGATCATGTAGATGTTGGCGGGCAGCTTCTCGTCGTTGTGGATGGTCTCCATCCAGGAGGCGATGACCTCGTCGGCGTACTTGTAGGTGGCCAGTTCGGGCTTGCCGTAGACGACACGCTCGAGTTCGACGCCGGTGAGCGACTTGTACATGGCCTCGAGACCAATGCGGAAGGCACCCTGGGACATGCGGGGGAAGGGGTGCTCGGTGGGGCACAGCATGTCGCCCTGGGAGAAGTAGATGGGGATGCGCTGGGAGACGGGGTCCTTGGCGCGGGTTCCGAACTTGCCGTTCTCGGACTGGAGAAGGTCCATGATGATCTGGATGTCGGTGGCGTAGTCACGGCTGTCGGAGAAGACCATGATGGCCTCGATGTTGACCTTGCTGAAGTCGCGGGGGCGGGAAGTCTTGCGCTCCTCGTCGGTGAAGACACGGTAGGGGGCGATGGTGGGGTCCCAGGCAATGATGTCGTTGGGGACGACAATGTCTTGGAAGCCGTATTGCTCGGCAACCTCACGGCACTTGTAGCCCTCACCACCGACAACGAGGACGGTCTTGTAGTATTCGGACAAGGCACGCATGGGAGTGTGCGACTGGATAAACTGCTCGGTCGAGATGGGGTTGTGGAGGATCTTGGACAGCTGGTCGACACGAGCTTGCTCGGGCTTACCGGAACCGTTGGTAAGGAAGATGTGGGGGATCTTGATGCCGAGCTCGTTGTCTCCGTTCAGGATCTCAAGGACGCGCTGACCCTCGGGGATTAGACGGTCACCGTGAACGAGGACACCGTCAATGTCGAAGACGAAAGCCATGTCCTTGGCGGCGCGGACCTTCTCGCCAGCGAGATCTTGAAGCTGGGCAGCGATAATGTCGCGAGATGGCTGGATCGGGGGCATGCCAGGGCGGACAGCGGCACCACGGCCATCGGGGTAGTGAACGGACGAGAGCCTCGACTGCCTCTTGGAACGGGGGATGGGCAGTGAGGTACCGAAGGAGTTGCGGGATCCTCTCCTCTCCTTCATGGAAGGCGAGAGGGAGAGGTTGTGCATGTAGCCAGTGGTGTCGGCCATGGCACTTCGGGTTGCTGGGACTTCGACAGTGTTGTCGGTGCCATCTTGAGGATCAGCTGGGATGGGAAGCTCAGGAGCCTTGTTGGAGGTAGTCTGAGCCTCGTTCTCAACAGCGGAGGGAGACATGATGATGGTGGTTGAAGTTGGGATAAGAATGGGGTATCAAGTGAAGAAAGTAGTAGTGTCAGTCTTCTCAGAAGCTGAATGTGAAGCTGAAGATGTGGAGTTGTGATGATGAAAGAGCAGTCTCAGGGTCTTCTGGGGGAGGGGCTATATATCACATCACTCGTCACTCTGACAGGCAGCGACGTCCATGAACCCCAGATGCCATCATCATTCGCCAATCTCTTCTGGAAAGTTTCGCAGGAGCTTTTCGCTATCCCGATTCAGGCCGGTGACACCAACCACGTTCTGGCACTGTGAGCGTTCAACAAGTACCTCTGTACCCACAGCGCGACATCATTACACTGCTGTAGTGGCCGTGCATAGCAGCACTAGTGGAGAAGTTTGCTGAACCAGAGAATGAGAACTGGATACCGTCACCGCCGTATTATCGCCGAAAACTGGGGACCGATAGCAGCGTAGTGCTGTGAGTCGCCACAACACCTGGAATGCGCGTTGTATACCCTTGGCCGAAGCCGTGAAAGCTTAGCGCAGAGCCTCATTTGACCGGAGGCAGAGCGCGGCCGGAAGATAAGGCACGGTACACCGCCTGTCAAAGGCGGTTGGCGTGCATACACCAAGTATGCGACATGTGGGAATCAGTAGAAGCGAGTGTAGCAGAGTGTAGATGGTGCAGGCAGCGTGCAGACAGTCGCGGCGGTACTTGCAGCAGCATGTGGGAGTGACGAAGGATGGGTGGGGCGAGGTAACCGCGGCTCGCCGAATTAGGGCGAAGGCAGCTAGTGATCTGCTTAAACGAGTGGCTGACAACGGCAGAGCCGCACGACTATTGGGACTACATCGTTCCACATTTTCACCTGTACGAAGCTCAGGTCGGCAAAACTTCCGCGCCAGCAATTAAAATGGCAGCGCTCGGCCCGTGCTGTGGACCCTGAGTCCACCGTCGACGTCATCGCTGCTGCTGACGGCCTACTCTGAGGGTCTACGTGAAACTGTTGGATGGGACTATTATGGAGTTTTTTCGCAATGGGACCGATGCGTGCGAGATGCTGCTGCGATCGGAATCTCTCGGTCTGAGGTCACGGCCGGCAGCGTGGTTGGGGACTGTCCGAGCAGATGGGCGATGATGAAAGAGCGAAGAGATTTCAGACCAACCAAGGTTACGCTGGATATATGTAGCTTCACAGTCCCAGCACGCGCTGTTGCCGCTGAATAAATTATCTCAAAACTTACTTGACCACTTTCATCTTTACTCTACATTTTCAAGGTACACTTTCAAACTTCAAGAACTACAAACACCGCAAATATGGCTCCCCTCCAGAACGAGAAGACGTTCAAGCTTTCCAATGGCGTCATCATGCCAGCCGTCGGATTCGGCACCTTCGCCAGCGAGGGCGCATCGGGCGAGACCTACGCCGCCGTAATGACCGCGCTCAAGACCGGCTACCGCCATCTCGACTGCGCATGGTTCTACCAGAACGAGGGTGAAGTTGGTGAGGCCGTCCGCGATTTCCTCAAGGAAAACACCAACGTCAAGCGCGAGGACCTTTTCATCGTCACAAAAGTATGGAACCACCTGCACGAGCCCGAGGAGGTCAAGTGGAGTTTCGAGTCTTCGCTGAAGAACCTGGGCGTTGACTACATCGACGCGTTCCTCGTCCACTGGCCCATTGCCGCGGAGAGTGACGACAACCACATGCCCAAGCTGGGCGCCGACGGCAAATACATCATCAAGAAGGAGCTCACCGAGAACCCGGAGCCAACATGGCGCGCCATGGAGGAGATTTACAACTCGGGCAAGGCCAAGGCCATCGGAGTTTCCAACTGGACCATCCCCGGCCTGAAGAAGCTGCTCAGCATCGCCAAGGTCAAGCCCATGATCAACCAGATCGAAGTCCACCCCTTCCTCCCCAACACCGACCTCGTCAAGTACTGCCAGGAAAACGACATTCTCGTCGCCGCCTACTCGCCGCTCGGCTCCCAGAACCAGGTCCCCAGCACCGGCGAGAAGGTCCGCACCAACCCCAAGCTCAACGAAGTTGCGGAGCGAAGCGGCTACGACCTTGCGCAGGTTCTCCTTGCTTGGGGTCTCCAGCGCGGCTACGTTGTTCTGCCCAAGAGCTCCACCCCTAAGCGTATCGAGAGCAACTGGCTCATCCCCGAGCTGAGCAAGGCCGACTTTGACGCCGTCGAGGAGGTCGCCAAGGGACGACACACTCGTTTCGTCAACATGAAGGACACCTTCGGCTACGATGTCTGGCCAGAGGAGACTGACGGTGGTGAGCTCAAGGCATAGAGCGGGGCGATGAGATCACGATGATACGGCATATTTCGATATTTTGTTTTTAGCGATACCAAAAGTCAATAGGAGACTTATTTAGATCAGCTCATGGAAATGAATCGATCGTGAGATTTATTACATCATGTCTTCGCAGTTCGCAGATCATTGTGATCGTGAGATCGTGAGTTCGCGTGATGTGACGCGGGTTGTAGGCGTTCCCCCGCACGCCCAGACCCGACCCCCGGTGCGCTACCATAAGGTCTATACATAAACATAAGTAATCATGGAATCTTCGGGTTGCCCTCCCAAAAATACCTGCGAACCAGTCGCGGCTATTTACAATTGATTGAATGGAGGGATTGGTCAAGTCAGGACCAGGCGATCCAACAACCGCAGATTTTCCTGTTCCCTGCGTGCTTTCCTCGATTCTTCCTTTGGCTGCTCAATGACTGCTTCTTTCGGTAGAACAACATCAGCGAAGTGATCTTTTGTGAACTGCATCACAATCTGCGCTTCAGCAAAGTTCTCCTGTTCCATCAGCTGCCGAGCGGTCCCTAAGCAGAGCTGGACAAGGAAATTCCGTCGACTCTGGGATGCTTCAACGAATCTGATAGCGCCGGCGGGATTCTGGACGAAATGAAGTCCAGGACCTGTGCTGGGCGTCGAAGGGTGATGGAGCCAGAGCATTGACTCGACTGCTGGACTCCATTCCCCTAGCCACCGTGGTGTTGACAGTAGGAACGACTGATACATCTCGGGTTCGAGCATATCATCGGTATTGGAGATGATCCGGTTCACCAGGTGGCCACCAGCGGATCTTAGGATATCGTAGGCTGCTTCGTGCCCGGCATTCTCCACAAGGCGGAAGGCCTGCATGAACATAGCCAGACCGCTCGCTAAGCTGTTGTCTGCCGCGAATACAACCATCTTGGCCAGTAGTTGT